GGATGGGAGGCTTGTGGGGCTGAAGCGTGTTCTCCTTGTTCCTGGATTGTGTGCCAACCTCCTCTCTACCAAGGCCCTAAGTGAGGCAGGGATGAAGATGGAGATGTTGGGCACAAAGGTTTTCAAGGCAACTCTGGATGGGCGCGTATTGTGGGACCTCCGAGGCGGCAAGGACATGCACCGGTCCATGTGGGAGATACCGGTGCTGCCATGGAAGGAGGCGGCTGCGCGCTTGGCTGCTGGAGATGTGAGAGGAGGGCGTGTTAACCACGTGGACAATGGAGGGGGTGGTGATGACAGTGATGGTGGGCTCCTTGGGCATGGAGGGGCTGCGCTTCCAAGTGTAACTCCTAGCACGGGTGAGACGGATTGGCTCACCGCACACCGTCGCTTTGGCCACGTGGCGCTACCTCAGTTGCAGCAGCTGTTTAAGGAGGAAAGAGTCAAGGGGCTGAGGATAAAGGGGGAGCCCAAGGAGGTGGGATCTTGTGAGACTTGCTTGACCAGCAAGTTTTCACGGTTTCCCTTCCATTCGGTGGAGGGGGAGTCGAGTGACCCGGTGGAGCTCGTGCATGTGGATCTCGTGGGACCCATGAAGGTGAAGGGAGATGGTGGGGCCCTGTATTCTATGACCATGGTGGATGACAACACAAGGCTCACCTGGTCCTTTCCACTTGCAAAGAAGAGTGATGCTGCAAGGGTCATCATTGAAGAGTGGCTGCCCATGGTGGAGCGAGAGAGCGGCAAGCGGGTGAAGGCGATACGTAGTGACCGTGGTGGGGAGTTCTTGGGAGCGGAGTTCCGGAGCTGGCTGAAGCGGCATGGCATCAAGCAGCAGCTCACCACGGCCTACACCCCTCAATCCAATGGCGTGGCAGAGAGAGCGAACCGGACCATCTTGGAGGGCGGGAGAACGATGTTGGTAGACTCGGGTCTACCCTTACGGTTCTGGCCCCTCGCTATTCGCCATGCCACCGTCATCAAGAACCGAGTATTGACTCATGTGGGAGGGCAGGATTGGGTCCCTATGGAGAAATGGAGGGGCAAGAAGCCTCTGGTGGATATGCTTCGAGTCTTTGGGTGCATGGGACTCGTGCACGTCCCTAAGGAAAAGCGTGACAAGCTTCAAGCGGCGGCGGTGTGGGCTGTTCATTTGGGACTTGCACAAGGGAGCAAGGGGTGGCTCATGTGGGACCCAATAGCCAACACCATCTTCACCACCAGAGATGCCAAGTTCATGGAGGGGCTCATGTTCAAGGAGTGGTTGGAGCGAGGGAGGAGCAAGGTCACCATTCCGCTCGGAATAGAGGTGGGAACGAATGACCCACTCTTCATTCCCATCGAGTTGTCTTCGTCTTCAGAGGTAACGGAGGTGTCACATGACTTGGGAGGTGCTGAAGGGGAGGCAGCAGAGGTGGAGGGAGTGTTGCAGCAACAGAAGGCCCCTGTAGCTGAGAGAGGTGATGCCGAGGAGGAGGTGCAGCAGCCTACACCATCCCCTACTCTTCCACCAAGGCGGACAACCCAAGGGAAGCGTGGTGCTGTCCGTGGTGGAGCTAAGGAGAGTGCAGCCAAGGAGAGGCCCAAAAGAGCTGCTCACCCAAGGGATTTCCTCAAGTATGAAAGGCTTGGGGGTCCCAAGGCATTGCTGGTCCAGGAGGAGGACGATGATGAGGAGAAGGGAGCCGAGGGAGAGATGGAGCAGATTTGTTGCTTCGGTGTCAACTTACCTCATAAACCGGCTTCGATGGAGGAAGCACTTGCTGGAGATGATCGAGAGGCTTGGTTGGCTTCAAGGGAGGATGAGTTTAAGAGCCTCATGGAGAATGGAACGTGGACCCTCACCAATCTGCCCCCGGGAAGAAAGGCATTGGATTGCACGTGGATATTACGTGTGAAGACCGATGCGGAGGGGAAGTTGGAGAGGCGCAAAACAAGACTTGTGATCAAGGGTTTCCAGCAGAGGGAGGGGGTTGACTTTAAGGAGGTGTTTGCTCCTGTTGCCAAGGCTCCTACGCTCCGGGTGTTGCTGGCAGCAGCTGCCGTTTGTGGTTGGAAGGTGGAGCAAATGGATGTGAAGACGGCTTTCCTCTATGGCGTGGTAGATGAGGAGATTTACATGAAGCAGCCAGAGGGGTACGACGATGGGAGCGGACGTGTTTGCAGGCTCAACAAGGCCATCTATGGCCTCAAACAAGCTCCAAGGTGCTGGTATGCAAGGCTGGTGGAGGCGTTGGAGGCTCTTGGCTTCAAAGTTAGCGGGTGCGACGAGAGTCTCTTCATAACCGAGGGGGATGAGGAGAAAGTGTTTCTCCTTGTCTACGTCGATGACATTCTCCTCTTCTCTCCATCCCTGGAGAGGATCAAGGAGGTGCAAGGGAAGCTGAAGGAGACCTTTCAATGCAAGGCCCTTGGACCAGTGGGGTATTACCTTGGTCTTCACGTGGAGCGGGACGAGGTGAAGGGATGGTTGAGGCTTCACCAACACAAGTACCTTGCAGCCATGGGGGAGAGGTATGGGCTGGAGGAAGGGAGGAGTGTAAAGACTCCACTACCCTCAGGATTTCAGCTACACCTTGATGAAGAGGAGGGTGAGGTGTTGGAGCCCGAGTTGCAGCGTCGGTTCCAGTCAATGGTGGGGAGCTTGATGTATGCTTCGGTCAACACTCGCCCCGATATTTCATTCGCGGTTTCGCAGCTGGCTCGTGTGGTGTCTAGGCCCCTTCAAGAGCACCTTGATGCAGCAGAGAGGCTGGTGAGGTACTGCATGGCAACCTCAAGGGTGGGGCTGCAATATTCAGTGCATGGGCAGCTGACGCAAAAGGGAGTGGAGGAGGTGAGCACGAAGACCGGTGCACCTGCAAGGCGTGGACACTTGTACCTCTCGTGCTTCACCGATGCTACCTGGGCAAGTGACATCAGTGATGCAACATCCCACGGTGGCTATGTATGCTGTGTTGGAGGGAGTCCAGTGAGCTGGAAGTCTAAGAAGCAAGGGGAGATAGCTCACTCATCAACGGAGAGCGAGTACATGGCGTTGTTTCATGGGGTGAAGGAGGTGGTTTGGATGAGGAGGTTGCTTGAGGAGTTGGGGCAGGAGCAAGAGGGTCCTACACCTGTGTTTTGTGACAGCCAAGGAGCAATTGCAATGGCTCGCAATGCTGTGCTCCATGGGCTGAACAAGCACATGCATATCAAATGGCATTGGGTGAGGAAGGAGGTGAAGAAGGGCACGGTCTCCTTGCACTACATCAACACTACCAAGCAACCTGCAGATTTTTTGACGAAGCGGCTTGCAGAGCATCAGCATTGGACCTGCGCCACCTTGTGTGGCATGTCCTTCAACTAGGGGAGGCAGCTTCAGGGAGCAGCTAAGGGATGAATGAGAGCACGATGAGGGGGAGTTTGTTGTGCCAACACATTACAGTGGCACGGTCATCGCACTCCCATTCGGCCTACAAGCCTGCTCAGCTTCTGGAATTTTGTGGGGAGGTTGTTCAACACGTTTTCTTCAAACCCTCAAAGTTTCAGAGTTTTTGAAGCAGTTACCAAGGCATGACAACATTTTATGTTTCAAGACTTATGGCATCCCGGAAGTGTGTGTTACTCCTTTTTGGTAACACCCGAGTTCACCATTTCGGCTGCTGACTCGTCTACAGAGATCTGATTGGTCTGAAATTCGGTCTAGCAGTCCTTTGCCCCGCTGTGCAAGTGGTCACCAAGTTTCAGAACGATCCAACATCTGAGCATTGCGTGACAGCTGCCGAAATTCACTGTTCCGTAGTCATGGTGCACTGTTGGCAGCATTTCCCTTGCCACCCTTTCATTGTTGTCATGCCAATGGTGCAGGGACAGAGAATGAGACAAGAAGTACAGGTGGTCAAGTGGGACTCTATAACCCTCCTTTTGAGAAGTGTGGTCTTCCTGGAAGCAACTTGCAAGAGGGTGCAAGTGGGAAGACAAGCTGACTCATGTTGGCTTGACTCACTATTGGTAGCCTTGAGTACAGCTCTGAACATCCAAGTGTGGTTGGCTTTGCTGACCTAGCTAGGACGTTTCCCATTCTTCTCTAGCCTTTCTCCCCTAGGAATCAACCTTCTCTGAGTTCCCAGGATGACCCAACCCCTTATGAGTCCCCTAGGCAATGTTGTACTCACCTCTTCCTTGCATCAATGAGAATACACGTTTTTTCAGCCGAGCTTACGTTTTCGTTCACTGCGTAGTGCACACACCTCTGATAATAGCAAGTAATATACCGTTGGAAAGCAGACACCTAAGGCTAACCGCTGTCCAAGTTTCAGCCTCGTATGTTCTCGGAGCTGATCGTGACAGCGTTTTGAACAGAGGCGGTTTGAAGACGTCAGATTCTGCTTAGGCGGTTTCATGGGCATCCGCGACCCCTAAGTGGACTGCAGACTATAACAGCTCCGTTGTCACGAGGTGACTTTTGAGTCGACTCAAAAGTCACCTCGGCTGGCACCGCACTCCGTTGTCATCTCTGCCAGTCTCGAGATGAGAACGATGCACATGCACCTGCTGCCACTCACAGTCTCCCATTCCTCATTCAGTTACACCCCCTTTTCCTTCCTTTCCTTTGCATCTGCTGGCGCGCATGTGGGAGGAGATGGGTCTCGTGTGCAGCATATGCACTTGCAACGAGGTGACTTTTGAGTCGACTCAAAAGGGTCACATGTGCAGCATATGCACTTGCAACGAGGTGACTTTTGAGTCGACTCAAAAGGGTCTCATGTGCAGCATATGCACTTGCAACGAGGTGACTTTTGAGTCGACTCAAAAGGGTCTCATGTGCAGCATATGCACTTGCAACGAGGTGACTTTTGAGTCGACTCAAAAGGGTCTCATGTGCAGCATATGCACTTGCAAGGCCCAGGCACAAACTCCCCCATCCCCTCATCCCGTCACCGTTCCCCCTTCCCCCTTCAACTCAATTCCCTTTTCTAACCCACCACTCTTCCTTTTTTCGCCCCTTACAGCTGAACATGGATCATCTGTTGGCGCGCATGTGGGAGGAGATGGGTCTCGTGCGAGTGTACACCAAGCCACAGGGCCAGCAGCCCGATTTCGCCGACCCTGTTGTGCTCTCCACCGTGAGTTACCGCAATGCATCGCACTCCACCTTTACTTCAACACAATCACCGCTCTCCACCGTGAGTGCATCACACCGGGTCTTGTCTCAACGATGCTGATGGGTCTCGTGCGAGTGTACACCAAGCCACAAGGCCAGCAGCCTGACTTTGCTGACCCCATCGTGCTCTCCACTGTGAGTTCACACCTGCACCGCACTCCACCTCCTCCAAAACTCAGTCACCACTCTCCACCATGAGTGCGTCAATCTGTCTCTCTGGTGGAGATAGGGGCTCGTGCGAGTGTGCCCAAGCTGCAGGGGCAGCAGCAGCCTGACTTTGTGGACCCTGTCGTGCTCTCCACTGTGAGTGCCCTCGTTGTTGTGTGCGTGTGCAAGCACACCACGCCATACCACTCGGAGCAGCAGCCGAACGTTGCTGACTAACACTGTGCTCCTTCCCACAGTGACTGAGTGCTACTCAACACTCGTTCCACCTCTCCCCACCAGATGGGTTCTACTGCCTTCTCTAGCACAATACGTAGAACCAGATGGCTGCTCTTCCTTGCATCTCTCGCTGCATCTAGTGGCCTGTGTGTTTTCATGTTTCAACCCCCCCCCCCTCTTTTCCCCTGTTTGTCTGCCCGCTTCTCAGGACCGTGGAGGGTGCACAGTGCGGGACTTCTGTGACCACATTCACAGGGGGTTGCTCAAGGACGTGAAGTATGTGCTGTGCTGGGGCATCAGCGTCAAGCACTACCCGCAGCGCTGCGGCTTGGCGCATGTTCTGCGGGATGAAGACGTTGTGCAGATCGTGAAGAAGAAGGTAATGTGCTTCCTTGACTCAATCTGGATGTTGAGAGTGTGCTAGGTGAGGTGAGGCGAGGTGGTTATTCATTCAAGCACTACCCGCAGCGCTGCGGCTTGGCGCATGTTCTGCGGGACGAGGACGTCGTGCAGATCGGGGAATATAAGGTACAATGTTCCGTCCTGGTTCAAATTGGATGCTGAGTGTAGGTAGGGAGGGCGGGGCGGAGGAGGGGAAGGGGAAGTGGTGTTGAAGGGACGAAGGGGGGGGGGGGGGGGGAGGTGGGGAGGGGAGAGGAGATAATTTGTTTTCAGTGAGGTGAGGTGGTTACCAAATTACATTATGGATGCGTTTTGTCTGTTACTTGGTGTGGCAGGAAACGGAAGAGGAAGGACGTGGAAGATTCAAGACACACGTTGACGGACCTGCAAGGATAGCTGACCGAGTGAAGAAGGCACCTTTGAAACAGTGACCTTGTTACTTGTGCGATTATCGCAAGGAGATGTGTTGTGTTGTACTTGTCGTGAAAATTCTGTTGCAATAAACATTTTTCTGTTAGACCTGTGTCCAGTTCAAGCCGTTCAATCTGCCACTTCAGCATCTGCCCCATTCTCCCGCTTTCCATCACCCCGCCCCATTCTCCCTCCTTCCATCACCCAGCCCCATTCTCCCTCCTTCCATCACCCCGCCCCATTCTCCCTCCTTCCATCACCCCGCCCCATTCTCCCTCCTTCCATCACCCCGCCCCATTCTCCCTCCTTCCATCACCCCACCCCATTCTCCCGCTTTCCATCACCCCACCCCAGTCTCCCGCTATCCATCACCCCGCCCCATTCTCCCGCTTTCCATCACCCCGCCCCATTCTCCCGCTTTCCATCACCCCGCCCCATTCTCCCGCTTTCCATCACCCCGCCCCATTCTCCCGCTTTCCATCACCCCGCCCCATTCTCCCTCCTTCCATCACCCCGCCCCATTCTCCCTCCTTCCATCACCCCGCCCCATTCTCCCGCTTTCCATCACCCCGCCCCATTCTCCCGCTTTCCATCACCCCGCCCCATTCTCCCTCCTTCCATCACCCCACCCCATTCTCCCGCTTTCCATCACCCCGCCCCATTCTCCAGCTTTCCATCACCCCGCCCCATTCTCCCGCTTTCCATCACCCCGCCCCATTCTCCCGCTTTCCATCACCCCGCCCCATTCTCCCGCTTTCCATCACCCTGCCCCATTCTCCCGCTTTCCATCACCCCGCCCCATTCTCCCGCTTTCCATCACCCCACCCCATTCTCCCGCTTTCCATCACCCCGCCCCATTCTCCCGCTTTCCATCACCCCGCCCCATTCTCCCGCTTTCCATCACCCCGCCCCTTTCTCCCTCCTTCCATCACCCCACCCCATTCTCCCTCCTTCCATCACCCCGCCCCATTCTCCCGCTTTCCATCACCCCGCCCCTTTCTCCCTCCTTCCATCACCCCCCCCCCCATTCTCCCTCCTTCCATCACCCCACCCCATTCTCCCTCCTTCCATCACCCCGCCCCATTCTCCCGCTTTCCATCACCCCGCCCCATTCTCCCTCCTTCCATCACTCCACCCCATTCTCCCGCTTTCCATCACCCCGCCTCATTCTCCCGCTTTCCATCACCCTGCCCCATTCTCCCGCTTTCCATCACCCCGCCCCATTCTCCCTCCTTCCATCACCCCGCCCCATTCTCCCGCTTTCCATCACCCCGCCCCATTCTCCCGCTTTCCATCACCCCGCCCCATTCTCCCGCTTTCCATCACCCCGCCCCATTCTCCTGCTTTCCATCACCCCGCCCCATTCTCCCGCTTTCCATCACCCCGCCCCATTCTCCCTCCTTCCATCACCCCGCCCCATTCTCCCGCTTTCCATCACCCCGCCCCATTCTCCCGATTTCCATCACCCCGCCCCATTCTCCCGCTTTCCATCACCCCGCCCCATTCTCCCGCTTTCCATCACCCCGCCCCATTCTCCCGCTTTCCATCACCCCGCCCCATTCTCCCGCTTTCCATCACCCCGCCCCATTCTCCCGCTTTCCATCACCCCGCCCCATTCTCCCGCTTTCCATCACCCCGCCCCATTCTCCCGCTTTCCATCACCCCGCCCCTTTCTCCCTCCTTCCATCACCCCACCCCATTCTCCCTCCTTCCATCACCCCGCCCCATTCTCCCGCTTTCCACCACCCCGCCCCTTTCTCCCTCCTTCCATCACCCCACCCCATTCTCCCTCCTTCCATCACCCCGCCCCATTCTCCCGCTTTCCATCACCCCGCCCCATTCTCTCGCTTTCCATCACCCGCCCCATTCTCCCTCCTTCCATCACCCCACCCCATTCTCCCGCTTTCCATCACCCCGCCTCATTCTCCCGCTTTCCATCACCCCGCCCCATTCTCCCGCTTTCCATCACCCCGCCCCATTCTCCCTCCTTCCATCACCCTGCCCCATTCTCCCTCCTTCCATCACCCCGCCCCTTTCTCCCTCCTTCCATCACCCCACCCCATTCTCCGTCCTTCCATCACCCCGCCCCATTCTCCCTCCTTCCATCACCCTGCCCCATTCTCCCTCCTTCCATCACCCCGCCCCTTTCTCCCTCCTTCCATCACCCCACCCCATTCTCCCTCCTTCCATCACCCCGCCCCATTCTCCCGCTTTCCATCACCCTGCCCCTTTCTCCCTCCTTCCATCACCCCGCCCCATTCTCCCGCTTTCAATCACCACGCCCCATTCTCCCGCTTTCCATCACCCCGCCCCATTCTCGCGCTTTCCATCACCCCGCCCCATTCTCCCGCTTTCCATCATCCCGCCCCATTCTCCCGCTTTCTATCACCCCGCCCCATTCTCCTGCTTTCCATCACCCCGCCCCATTCTCCCGCTATCCATCACCCCGCCCCATTCTCCCGCTATCCATCACCCCGCCCCATTCTCCCTCCTTCCATCACCCCGCCCCATTCTCCCTCCTTCCATCACCCTGCCCCATTCTCCCGCTTTCCATCACCCCGCCCCATTCTCCCGCTTTCCATCAGCCCGCCCCATTCTCCCGCTTTCCATCACCCCGCCCCATTCTCCCTCCTTCCATCACCCAGCCCCATTCTCCCTCCTTCCATCACCCCGCCCCATTCTCTCCTTCCATCACCCCGCCCCATTCTCCCTCCTTCCATCACCCCGCCCCATTCTCCCTCCTTCCATCACCCCACCCCATTCTCCCGCTTTCCATCACCCCACCCCAGTCTCCCGCTATCCATCACCCCGCCCCATTCTCCCGCTTTCCATCACCCCGCCCCATTCTCCCGCTTTCCATCACCCCGCCCCATTCTCCCGCTTTCCATCACCCCGCCCCATTCTCCCGCTTTCCATCACCCCGCCCCATTCTCCCTCCTTCCATCACCCCGCCCCATTCTCCCTCCTTCCATCACCCCGCCCCATTCTCCCGCTTTCCATCACCCCGCCCCATTCTCCCGCTTTCCATCACCCCGCCCCATTCTCCCTCCTTCCATCACCCCGCCCCATTCTCCCGCTTTCCATCACCCCGCCCCATTCTCCAGCTTTCCATCACCCCGCCCCATTCTCCCGCTTTCCATCACCCCGCCCCATTCTCCCGCTTTCCATCACCCCGCCCCATTCTCCCGCTTTCCATCACCCCGCCCCATTCTCCCACTTTCCATCACCCCGCCCCATTCTCCCGCTTTCCATCACCCCGCCCCATTCTCCCTCCTCACACATTCACGCACACGGACAACAAGCCGAGTGCAAACCGTAGGGTTGCACCAACAAACTCCCCCTCGGATTGTTGGCCTTAGGATATGTTGCTCTCTCAGTTCAGAGCCATCCCAGCCAGCTTGCAACACTTCCAATGCTGCTGCTCCACCAGCCTCTTGGTCATCATGTCAGCCGGCTGCCCCGTGGTCTTCACGTAGCGCAACTCAACTTCACCCGCGGTTACCATGCTCCTCGTCCAATGCCACTTCACTCTCATGTGCTTCGTGAGTCCATGCAACACAGGGTTCTTAGCAAGAGCAATGGCACCCTGGCTGTCACAGTACAGTGGGGTAGGTCCTTGCTGCTCCTCCCCCAATTCAGCCAACAAACGCCGCTGCCACACAATCTCCCGTACGGCACGGAAGAGTGCCATGTACTCGGACTCCACCGAGCTCAAAGCTTGGTCAACCTGCTTCTTGCTCTCCCAAGCAGTTGGGCCTCCACCAACACAGCATATGAAGCCTCCCACACTTGTCATGTCCTCTGGTTCTGATGCATATGAAGCATCCGAGTAGGCGGTGAGGAACAAACGCCCGGGTTCAACACCATCCGCGCCCTTTTGGCGCCTTTGTGCCGCCGCCGAGTATTGCAGCCCAACGGTCGGTGTTTGGCCAAGATACTTGGCCACCCTCATTCCAGCTGCTACCTGCTCCTCATTAGGGCATTGCACAACCCTAGCCAGCTGCCCGGTAGCAAACGCGACGTCCGGTCGGGTGTTTACCGCCGCATACATGAGGCTGCCCACCAACGAGTGAAATCGGCGCCTCTCCTCTTCACCAACGCTCTCCTCCTCTGGTCCCTTCACACACTTGAACCCAGAGGGAAAGGGTGTAGCCATATGGCCTTCACTCTGCCCAAAGTTGGCAGCCAATGCCTCCAGGTACTTTCGTTGATGCACCCGCATGCACCGCTTCTCCACATCTCGTTCGATGTGGAGCCCAAGGTAGAAGCTCACGTCACCAAGGGCCTTGCACTTGAACTTGTCTTGAAGCTTCAGCATCACCTCCTTCACAAGGTCAGAAGAGGGTGAGAAAATGAGGATGTCATCCACATAAACCACCATGAAACTCCTCTGCTCCCCCTCGCCAAGCATGAACAAGGAGTGATCGGCCGTTGAGGGAGTGAAGCCGATCCCCTCCAACACTTCGCGCAGCTTCATGTACCATTGCCTAGGGGCCTGCTTCAGCCCATAGAGGGCCTTATTCAGCTTCCACACTCTGCCACTACCATCATCAAACCCCTCTGGCTGCGCCATAAAAATCTCCTCCTCAAGGATGCCGTTAAGGAATGCCGTTACGATGTCCATTTGCTTTACTACCCATCCTTTGATGGCGGCTCCCGCGAATAGGGTTCGCAGCGTCGTCGGCTTCACCACAGGGGCAAACAGCTCCTTGAAGTCCACCTTCTCCTTCTGCTGGTACCCCTTGGCTACAAGCCTAGACTTGTAGCGCTCGATCTTGCCGTCGGCATCCGACTTGATTTTGAAGAGCCACTTGGACGTTATCGCCGTACGCCCCTCCGGTAGCTCCACCAATTCAAACGTGTCATTCTCCTCGATGCTCTTCAGCTCACTCTCCATGGCCTTCTTCCACTCCTCAGCATCACTACTCTCCAAAGCCTCCTTGAGAGTTGCTGGTTCTCCCGGCATCTCCACCGGAGAGAAGAACGCGAAGGCACACTCCTCGCAGTCACTCTCCTCGTCGTCTCCGACCATCATTGCCGCTCCGGCCAGGGCTGTCTTGCCCTGCTTTCCCGGCGCATCATAGGTCAGCCTATTAGGGGGTTGAACTCTCCTCTTCCCCCTTCCTTCCTCCTCAGCTGCAGGGACTTGAAGGCCTTGGCGTTGCTGCGGTGTGGCTCGAATCCGTGGAGCACTCGTAGTACGGGAAGGGAGTGACGGTGCACGCTCGCTCACTTGCTGCACCTCCTCCTCTTCTTCCTCTGCATCATTGGCCTCCTCTCCCCCATTCACAAGGGAGGATTGCCTTGTGGTTGTGCTGCCGCTGCTCAGTTCCAAAGGCAGCTCCACATGCTCCAAACCGGAACTCTTCACCTCCCCAACCGCACGCCTATCTTCGCCTCATTCTCCGCCTTCCAATCCTTGTACATGAAGTTCTCCATGAACTTGCAGTCCCTGCTCACCAAGAACTTCTTGGTGAATGGGTCCCAAAGAAGCCATCCCTTGCTGTTTTGAGCCATGCCCAAGTGCACGGCCCACACCACCTTGGCACCAAGCTTGTTGTGCCGAAGATGCTTAGGCACGAGCGCCATGCACATGCACCCGAACACCCGAAGCATATCCACCTTTGGCTTCCTTCCTAGCCACTCCACATAGGGCACCCATTTGTCTGCTCCCACATGAGTCAAGGCTCTGTTCTTGGCCACACACGCGCTCCGCACCGCATCAGGCCAGAAATAGTCGGGTAGCCCGGCTTCAATGAGCAACCCGCGTGCCGCCTCCGTGATTGTGCGGTTCGCTCGCTCGGCGATGCCGTTCATTGCAGGGGAGTATGGCATGGTGAGGGAGTGCCGAATACCATTATTCTTCAGCCACAACCCAAACTCCTTGCTCAGGAACTCTCCCCCTCGATCGGTGCGGATTGACTTGACTAGACGGTCTTGTTGCCGCTCCACCATCGGGAACCAATCCGTCTTCAACGTTTCAGCCACGTCGCTCTTCTTGGCCAGCACGTACACCCAAGTCATGCGGGTGTAGACGTCGACAATGGTGAGAAAATACTCAGCTCCAGCAGCTCCAAGCTTCAGGGGGCCCACCACGTCCATCACCACCTCATCAAGCGGTGCCTTTGCCGTTGCCTCCGAACTAGGGAACGGAAACCGGGTGAACTTGGCTTGAATGCACGTCGGGCAGCCAAGCACCTCATCGGGCTCCCCCTTCACACGTATGCCAGCAACCATCTCATTCTTCACTAGCTGCTGCAAGATAGGCAGGGCCACATGCCCCATGCGCCGATGCAAGGTGAGCCAATCACACTCCCCCGTAGCCGAAGTTGGATTGGAGAATGCCGCGCTCGCAATAGCGCCCCACATACTCTCTCCGTAGTCCTCCTCCGCTGCTGCCTCTGGGTTCTCCTCACCCTTTTGCTGCTCCTTGGTTGCTGCACCACTCTCCTTAGGTTCACTGAACTTGCTGGTCCCTCCAGGTTTGCTCTTCTTGAGCTCATTCTCCTTAGCGCGACCGTTCGCGCCATCGTCGCTACCGACCGCTCCATCCTTGGTGCTGATGCTTGCTGCCACTTGCCTCTCCTTAGGCATAGGGACCACTGGGATCTGCCACATCTCGTTGTAGACATCCCTGTCCTCATGAAGGTCCCAAAGAATTCGATCGCCAAGCCTTGCGGTGTAGGTCTTGGCTCCCTTCAAGTTCGTGTCCATGCCGGCCTTTGCCAACCGCCGCACGGAAATCAGGTTTGCAGCAAGGCTGGGCACCCAAAGCACGTTCTTGAGGCCCACCATCTTCCCATCAGCACCCTTGAACATGGCCTTGCCCATGCCTTTCACCTCTGCTCGCTGCCCCAAAGCCGATGTGACATGCTTCACCGGTGACGGCTCGAGTTCGGTGAGCAAGTCCGGGCGAGGTGTCATGCTATAGGTAGCGCCACTATCAATCACCCAATAGTCCAGGGGGTGTAGGGTCACCTTCCCCACAGCTGCTGGCTCCTCAAAGCCTTCATCCTTCTCTGGACCAGCCGGTACTTGCGTCGACACGAAGTAGAATAGACCCGGGTATCGATCGTCGCTCGGGTCCTTGTCGTTGTCTCCGCTCTTCATGTTTGCAGCTCCGCCACCGCGACCGCCACGGCCTCCACGGCCTCGTCCTCTCCCTCCTCCTGCTCCTCTACCCTCTTGGCCTTGAGCAGGGGTCCAACCATCAGGGAGTTTGTAGCAGTCGCACCACATGTGTCCGCTCTTGTGGCAATAGTGACACTCGCCGTCGAATCGGCCGCGACCGCGTCCGTAGCTCTTGTCGTCGCTGCCGTAACCGCCACTCCTGCGGCCTCCGCCGAAGTTGCTGCCACCAAACCTTCCTCCCCCTCGTCCTCTGCCTCTTCCTCGACCATATCCACGGCCGATGCTCGCTGCCCCAGCGCCATCCGCACTCGCCAACTCACGGCGGCGGACATCCTCTTGAAGGATAGCTCGCTTCACGTCTTCAAGCGAGAGGCGGGGCAAGTCGCGATTAAGGTTGATGATGAGCGAGGACCATGACTCTGGGAGTAAGGCCAGCAACTTGGTCTTCTTTTGGAGCTCACTGTAGTTCAAATCAGCTCCCTCAAGCCGCGTCAACAAGTCGAAGAATTTCTGCACCCCTTCTTCAACCGCTTCGTCTTCTTCAATTCGTAGTGCCGCCATTTGCCGTTCCAACACCACCGCTACCGCCGCTGTTGCAGGAGCATGTACACCCTTGAGAGCAGCCCATGCCTTTGGTCCTTTCTCTGGTTCACGCTGGAATGGCTTGATGTGACGGATCTGACTGCTCCCCAACGCTTGCCCAAGTAAGAGATAGCCTTGTGCGCTCTTCCGCACCCACGGGCTCTTCTTCGGGTCGTTCTCGGGGCGCTTCTCCGTTCCTTCCATCACCTCCAGCAGGTCATAGTGGTCAAAGATGTTCTCCATCTTGAAGGACCATTCAGCAAAGTTGTCACCGTTGAACTTGTCAAGCCCAAACACCCTAGGCTCATCCCTAGGTGGGCCAAGACTTGGTTGCATGGGCGCCATGGCTGAATCACGGGGTTGGCCTTGAGCTTGAGCTTCTCCACTGCTACCAGCACCTCTGCCACCCCTTTCCTCAGGTCCAGACATTGTCGAAACTGCTCCAAGGGGCTCTGATACCACTTGTTATAGTCACAATAGGCTTGAATGTGCCAAAAACGAAAGATAGAGAGCACAGACGGATTTCTGCACAGCGGCTTCAAACGTTGATAGCGTTCTGCTCACAGCTGCAAATGACTTGATTCAAATTGGATCTGGAGCGTCTTTACGTCGTCTACAATTAGCAATTTAGATTGCACGATTTGATAAAGAATTGACGACACAGCGTCGGTTTGAACGAACGGTACTATGGCAGCCACTATAGTCTTAGAACACAAGATAGGAAGAGTTACGAGTTGGGAATGACTCCCAGCTCCTACAAACCCCAAGAGCCGAGGTATAGTGATGTGGAACAGTGCCACACTGTCCCCAACCACGAAGGGTCTCGAAACTACCCTTCACTAGGGCCTACACCAAGTGAAATGTTACACTACACAAAGTAATGTAACTATCTTCAATATCTTGAGGTGTACCCTTTTGGCAAGCTTCGAAATCACTTGAGGCTTGACACCAAGGCTCGGGCTCTTCATCACAAACTCATCCTTGAGTTCTTGATGGGTCTGCTGCACACACCTGCGACACGCCGAACGTTCGACAAAGGACAAAATAGAAACCGCGCACGACAAAATAGAAACCGCGCGCGAGACACAAACGACCGCGTAACACGCGTCTAGCGATAACTCGCTATTGACTCGACACACACACTCGACATCATGACTCAACATTCACACACAAATATAAGCATGAAATATATATTATCCCATGCCCTCATACCATTCCATACACACACACATTCACGCACACGGACAACAAGCCGAGTGCAAACCGTAGGGTTGCACCAACACCACAAACGTCTTCCCCCCTAAACGTCTCCCCTTCATACGCACCTTTTTCCAACCTGCACCCCACAAACGTCTCCCCCCTAAACGTCTCCCCTTCACACGCACCTTTTCCCAACCTGCGCCCTACAAACGTCTCCCCCCTAAACGTCTCCCCCTCACACGCACCTTCTCCGAACCTGCGCCCCACAATCGTCACCTCCCTAAACGTTTCCCCTTCATACGCAGCTTCTCCCAACCTGCGACCCCCAAACGTCTCCCCCCTAAACGTCTCCCTTTCACACGCATTTTCTCCCAACATGCGCTCCACAAATGTCTCCCCCCTAAACGTCTCCCCTTCACACGCACCTTCTCCCAACCTGGGCCCCACAAACGTTTCCCCCCTAAACGTCTCCCCTTCACACGCACCTTCTACGAACCTGCGCGCCACAAACGTCTCCCCCCTAAACTACTTCCCTTCACACGCACCTTCTCCGAACCTGCGCGCCACAAACGTCTCCCCCCAAACGTCTCCCCTTCACATGCACCTTCTCCCAACGTGCGCCCCACAAACGTCTCCCCCCAAAACGTCTCCCCTTAATACGCACCTTCTCCGAACCTGCGCGCCACAAACGTCTCCCCCCTAAACGACTCCCCTTCACACTAACCTTCTCCCAACCTGCGCCCCACAAACGTCTCCCCCCTAAACGTCTCCCCTTCACACGCACCTTCTCCCAACGTGCGCCCCACAAACGTCTCCTCCCTAAAGGTCTCCCCTTCACACGCACCTTCTCCCAACCTGCGCCCCACAAACGTCTCCCCCCTAAACGTCTCCCCTTCACACGCACCTTCTCCCAACCTGCGCCCCACAAACGTCTCCCCCCTAAACGTCTCCCCTTCACACGCACCTTCTCCCAACCTGCGCCCCACAAACGTCTTCCCCCTATACGTCTCCCCTTCATACGCACCTTCTCCCAACATGCGCCCCACAAACGTCTCCCCTTCACACGCACCTTCTCTCAACCTGCGCCCCACAAACGTCTCCCCCCTAAACGTCTCCCCTTCACACGCACTTTCTCCCAACCTGTGCCCCACAAACGTCTTCCCCGTAAACGTCTCCCCTTCACACGCCCCTTCTCCCAACCTGCGCCCCACAAACGTCTTCCCCGTAAACGTCTCCCCTTCATACGCCCCTTCTCCCAACATGCGCCCCACAAACGTCTCCCCTTCACACGCACCTTCTCCCAACCTGCGCCCCACAAACGTCTCCCCCCTAAACGTCTCCCCTTCACACGCTCCTTCTCCTAACCCGCGCCCCACAAACGTCTCCCCCCTAAACGTCTCCCCTTCACACGCACCTTCTCCCAACCTGCGCCCAGCAAACGTCTCCCCCCTAAACGTCTCCCCTTCACACGCATATTCTCCAAACCTGCGCCCCACAAACGTCTCGCCCCTGAACGTCTCCCTTTCACACGCACCTTCTGCCAACCAGCGCCCCACAAACGTCTCCCCCCTCAAATTCTCCCCTTCACACGCACCTTCTCCCAACTTGCGCCCCACAAATGTCTCCCCTTCACACGCACCTTCTCCCAACCTGCGCCCCACAAACGTCTCCCCCCTAAACGTCTCCCCTTCACACGCACCTTCTCCCAACCTGCGCCCCACAAACGTCTTCCCCGTAAACGTCTCCCCTTCATACGCCCCTTCTCCCAACCTGCGCCCCACAAACGTCTCCCTCATAAACGTCTCCCCTTCATACGCCCCTTCTCCCAACATGCGCCCCACAAACGTCTCCCCTTCACACGCACCTTCTCCCAACCTGCGCCCCACAAACGTCTCCCCCCTAAACGTCTCCCCTTCACACGCTCCTTCTCCTAACCTGCGCCCCACAAACGTCTCCCCCCCTAAACGTCTCCCCTTCACACGCACCTTCTCCCAACCTGCGCCCCGCAAACGTCTCCCCCCTAAACGTTTCCCCTTCACATGCACCTTCTCCCAACATGCGCCCCCCAAACGTCTCCCCCCTAAACGTCTCCCCTTCACACGCACCTTCTCCCAACCTGCGCCCACCAAACGTCTCCCCCCTAAACGTCTCCCCTTCACAGGCACCTTCTCCCAACCTGCGCCCCACAAACGTCTCCCCCATAAACGTCTCCCCTTCACACGTACCTTCGCCCAACCTGCGCCCCCCAAACGTCTCCCCCCTAAACGTCTCCCCTTCACACACACCTTCTCCCAACTTGCGCCCCACAAACGTCTCCTCTTCAAACGCACCTTCCCCCAACCTGCGCCCCACAAACGTCCCCCCCCCTAAACGTCTCACCTTCACACGCACCTTCTCCAAACCTGCGCCCCACAAGCGTCTCCCCCCTAAACGTCTCCCCTTCACATGCATATTCTCCAAACCTGCGCCCCACAAACGTCTCGCCCCTGAACGTCTCCCTTTCACACGCACCTTCTGCCAACCAGTGCCCCACAAACGTCTCCCCCCTGTAAGTCCCCCCTTCACATGCACCTTCTCCCAACTTGCGCCCCGAAAACGTCTCCCCTTCACACGCACCTTCTCCCAACCTGCGCCCCACAAACATCTCTCCCCTAAACGTCTCCCCTTCACACGCACCTCCCCCCTAAACGTCTCCCCTTCACACGCACCTTCTCTCAACATGCGCCCCCCAAACGTCTCCCCCCTAAACGTCTCCCCTTCACACGCACCTTCTCCCATCCTGCGCCCCCCAAACGTCTCCCCCCTAAACGTCTCCCCTTCACATGCACCTTCTCCCAACCTGCGCCCCACAAACGTCTCCCCCCTAAACGTCTCCCCTTCACACGCACCTTCTCCCAACTTGTGCCTCACAAACGTCTCCCCTTCACACGCACCTTCTCCCAACCAGCGCCCCACAAACGTCTCCCCCCTAAACGTCTCCCCTTCACACACACCTTCTCCCAACTTGCGCCCCACAAACGTCTCCCCTTCAAACGCACCTTCCCCCAACCTGCGCCCCACAAACGTCCCCCCCCTAAAGTCTCACCTTCACACGCACCTTCTCCAAACCTGCGCCCCACAAGCGTCTCCCCCCTAAACGTCTCCCCTTCACACGCATATTCTCCAAACCTGCGCCCCACAAACGTCTCACCCCTGAACGTCTCCCTTTCACACGCACCTTCTGCCAACCAGCGCCCCACAAACGTCTCCCCCCTGTAAGTCCCCCCTTCACACGCACCTTCTCCCAACTTGCGCCCCACAAACGTCTCCCCTTCACACGCACCTTCTCCCAACCTGCGCCCCACAAACATCTCTCCCCTAAACGTCTCCCCTTCACACGCACCTCCCCCCTAAACGTCTCCCCTTCACACGCACCTTCTCTCAACATGCGCCCCCCAAACATCTCCCCCCTAAACGTCTCCCCTTCACACGCACCTTCTCCCATCCTGCGCCCCCCAAACGTCTCCCCCCCAAACGTCTCCCCTTCAGACACACCTTGTCCGAACCTGCGCCCCACAAACATCTCCCCCCTAAACGTCTCCCCTTCACACACACCTTGTCTGAACCTGCGCCCCACAAACGTCTCCCCCCTAAACGTCTCCCCTTCACACGCACCTTCTCCGAAAATGCGCCCCACAAACGTCTCCCCCCTAAACGTCTCCCCTTCACACGCACCTTTTCCGAACCTGCGCCCCACAAACGTCTCCCCCTAAACGTCTCCCCTTCATACGTACCTTCTCCGAACCTGAGCCCCACAAACGTCTCCCCCCTAAACGTCTCCCATTCACACGCACCTTCTCTGAACCTGCGCGCCACAAACGTCTCCCCTTAACACGCACCTTCTTCCAACCTGCGCCCCATGCACCTTCTCCGAACCTGCGCGCCAGAAACGTCTCCCCCCCGAATGTCTCCCCTTTACACGCGCATTCTCCGAACCTACGCCCCACAAACGTCTCCCTCTTGAACGTCTCCCATTCACACGCACCTTCCCCCAACCTGCGCCCCACAAACGTCTCCCCCCTAAACGTCTGCCCTTCACACGCACCTTCTCCGAACCTGCGCTCCACAAACGTCTCCCTCTTAAAATTCTCCCTTTCACACGCACCTTCTCCGAACCTGCGCCCCACAAACGTCTCCCCCCTAAACGTCTGCCATTCACACGCACCTTGTCCGAACCTGCGCCCCACAAACGTCTCCCCCCTAAACGTCTCCCCTTCACACGCACCTTCTCCGAACTTGCGCCCCACAAACATCTCCCCCCTAAACGTCTCCCCTTCACACGCACCTTCTCCGAACCTGCGCCCCACAAACTTCTCCCTCCTAAACGTCTCCTCTTCACACGCACCTTCTCCGAACCTGCGCCCCACAAACGTCTCCCCCCTAAACGTCTCCCCTTCACAGGCACCTTCTCCGAACCTGCGCCCCACAAACGTCTCTCCCCTAAACGTCTCCCCTTCACACGCACTTTCTCCCAACCTGCGCCCGACAAACGTCTCCCCTCTAAACGTCTCCCCTTCACACGCACCTTCTCCCAACTTGCGCCCCACAAACGTCTCCGCCCTAAACGTCTCCCCTTCACATGCACCTTCTCCCAACCTGCGCCCCACAAACGTCTCCCCCCTAAACGTCTCCCCTTCACACGCACCTTCTCCCAACCTGCGCCCCACAAACGTCTCCCCCTTAAACGTCTCCCCTTCACACACACATTCTCCCAACATGCGCCCACCAAACGTCTCCCCCCCTAAACGTCTCCACTTCACATGCACCTTCTCCCAACCTACACCCCACAAACGTCTCCCCCCTAAACGTCTCCCCTTCACACGTACCTTCTCCCAACCTGCGCCCCACAAACGTCTCCCCCCTAAACATCTCCCCTTCACACGTACCTTCTCCCAACCTGCGCCCCACAAACGTCTCCCCCCTAAATGTCTCCCCTTCACACGCACCTACTCCCAACTTGCGCCCCACAAACGTCTCCCCTTCACACGCACCTTCCCCCAACCTGCGCCCCACAAACGTCTCCCCCCTAAATGTCTCACCTTCACACGCACCTTCTCCGAATCTGCGCCCCACAAACGTATCCCCCCTGAATGTCTCCCTTTCACACGCACCTTCTCCCAACCTGTGCCCCAAAAACGTCTCCCCCCCTGAAAGTCTTCCCTTCACATACACCTTCTCCCAACCTGCGCCCCACAAACGTCTCCCCCTTAAACGTCTCCCGTTCACTCGTACCTTCTCCGAAGCTGCGCCCCACAAATGTCTCCCCCTAAACGTCTCCCCTTCACACGTACCTTCTCCGAACCTGCGCCCCACAAACGTCTCCCCCTAAACATCTCCCCTTCACACGCACCTTCTCTGAACCTGCGCGCCACAAACGTCTCCCCCCTAAACGACTCCCCTTCACGCGCACCTTCTCTGAACCTACGTGCCACAAACTGTCAACAGGAGATGTGTGTTGGCCCCGTCCTCGTTTGGGCGGAGCCGATTTCGTGGTCGGGTGTGAGGGGAGCAGCCGACCTGCAGCAGTGGGCGAGCTGGTTGACGAGGAGGTCGACCTGCACGGGGGCCACTGCACGGGCGCCGACTTCTGGGTGGCGCCGACTTCAGGGAGGTCGACCTGGGAAGTCGACCTGTGGAGGACGTCAACTTGGTGACGTCAACTTGGGGCAGCCGACTTGGGTGGTCGGCTGACAGGCCTACTGGTCGACCTGGTGGTTGGTCGACTAGGTCTGCTGGTCGACTTGGTGGTTGGTCGACCAGGTGTGATGTCGACCTGGTGGTCGACCTGACCTGGTGGTCGACGGAGGAGGGGCCGATGTCGACCTCAACTCAGGACGCCGAGCAGCTGGGCGTCGAGTAGCAGGGCGTCAACTTGGTGACGCCAACTTCGGGTAGCCGACTTGGGTGGTCGGCTGACAGCTGTGCTGGTCGACATGAAGTTGGTCGACCAGGAGTGCTGGTCGACGTGGGGCTGGTCGACCAGGAGGGACGTCGACCTGGAGCTGGTCGACCAGGGGTGTGGTCGACCTGGTGAGGTCGACTTGAGGTGGTCGTTGACTTGGGAGGTCGACGGGCACATACAGGAGCAGCTGGTCGACTTGGTTGCCTGGTCGACCAGGTTACCTAGGTGACGAGGTTCTGCGGAGGAGTGCGACGGTCGCCCAGGCGAAGTTGGCGAGTCCGACCTCGGTGGTGGTATCCCGAGGTCGACGTGGCTGATCAGATGCAGACGTCAGCGCCAGGTTGACTTGGTGTGTGCGCTGTGTAGGTGACGGGGCTCAGCACGCCAATCATCTGCGAGCACCTGCGAAGCGGGTGCGATGCTGTACTACGGGAGCAACGCTGGCACGCCGTCGACCTGCTGCGTTGGCACGCCGTCGACTTTGCATTGCTGGAGCGCGGTCGACCAAGTCGTGCTGGAACGCGGTCGACCATGCTGCGCTGGCAGTCGACCGACCTGAATGCTAGCTCTGATGTAGTCTTGCCATGCCAACTTCTTTGTACCATTGTTGTCAACTTTTTTCTAGTGAAACTCTTGCCAACTTACCCCGTGAACTAGCAAGCAGTGTGTGCACTAGGAAAACGACTAAGGACCGACGAACGCAGAGATCACACGAGCACCCGTGCCTAGCCCGTTGTCTAGCTCCCGTTGTAGTAGTTATCTCTGCATGGTGCGGTGAGCGTGGAAGGCACACGACTTACCTTTCAGTCAGGTCGACATAGAGGTCACTTACCTAAGTTGTTTGTAGGCCGGCAGCCGTGCAATCACTAGCGTGCGCGTAGGTGACGCCAAGGGAATGGAGACCCTGGAAGCACAGCTGGAGGACGCGAGGACACGCCATGGGGCCCAGGAGTACGGAACGATCCCCTGGGCGGTTGTGGAGGCTGGCATTCGCACCATGTGGGCGACGTTGCACCCTTCTCAACCTGCGTCTCCTCGACCGGTGAACACAGAGGGCGGCGTCGACGTGGGCGTCAACGCCGGTGGTGGTCAAGTCGACAGCAGTGCGGGAGGCACGTCGAGGCAGAGAGGTGTGATACACGCCGATGAAGTCGGCGGCGATCAGGCGCGAGGGATGCGGTCGACGGCGGCTGCAGGCACCTCGCAGGGCGACATCGGAGGTCGATGAAGCGGGTTGTCGCCGATGTCGGCGACCCAGGTGACAGCGGGCGGTATTGCCCCGAGCTACGGCTACTTCAAGTTCACGCCGGACAGGATCCTAGTCACCCCACCACTCACTGGTCGACCCGACATCCTCACCTGGAAGGAGGCCATCGAGCCCCAGCTGGAGATGGCTGGGCTGATCAGCTTTGCTCGAGGCACCGTGGTGACGCCGGACGACCCCGACATGCGAGCGGAGTTCCGTGCCGTACAGCTGTTGACCTTCACGGTCATCTCGCGGTGCTGCTCGCCGGGCGTGCAGATCGCCTTGAAGTGGTGTCGGGAGTACCTTGACGCCGGCCACCAGGCGTGGCACTTCATCGAGTCGACCTACCAAGTCACCGACGACCTGTTCACCGCCCAGCTGGAGGGGCAGCTGACGCACCTGCGTATGGGCGACGAGGAGACGGCGACCGACTACTGCAACCGGGCCCGGCGAATTCTCGCCACCATCAGGATGGCCGGCGCGCAGTACTCGACGGCGTCGTACGTCACCCACGTCATGCAGGGACTCTCGAGCAGCTACAACCTCCTGAAGCGGCTGTCGATGGCACCGAGCATGAGGACGACGCTCAACAAGGACAACTTGACCTCGTACATCCTGCAGGACGAGGCGATGCAGAAGGCAGAGCGGTCACAAGAGCTCTTGGCGCAGGCCAACTTCGTCGCCCCGGCCAAGCAAGGAGGTCGACCGGGGCAGCGCGGACAGTCTGGCGGCGGAGGTGGCAGTGGCTGGAAGCCGGCCAAGGAGGTCGACAAGAAGAGGTCGACCAAGGACAGCGGTCGAGGAGGAGGAAGTCGACGTCGGGAGTGCTGGCTGTGCGGCGACCCCGACCACCTCTCCTTCGAGTGCCCCGACCGCAGTGACTCCGACGACGACGACGCCAAGGGAGGCCGCGGGAGGTCTGGCAGTCGTCGTCCTCGTCGAGGAGGGAACAAGCCGCGCAAGGAGGTGCAGTCGACCAGGTCGACCTCGGCGAAGGACGCGGACTCCTCTGCTGGCGGCAAGGCGCGGGATGACAAGACGGCGTCGTGCTCACTGGTCGGCGTCGTGGAGCCGACCGTCTCGCTGGCACCGGAGGCCGGAGAGGACTTCCAGGCGGTGGCGGCAGCTGTGCAGGCAAACTCGGCGGTGGTCCTGGTCGACAGCGGCTGCTCCCACCACCTGATGGGGACGAAGGAAGTCTTCGTCGACCTATAGCCGAGCGGCTCCATCAAGCACGTGCGCGGCTTCAATGGGGCGCTGCAGGACGTCCAGGGCTGTGGCACCGTCGCCCTCCAAGGGGAGGCCGGGAAGCAGGTGCTCATCCCCGACGTGCTATACGTCCCGGGTGTGAGGGCCAACCTGCTGTCGTCCGGCCAGCTGAAGGAGCACGTCGTGAACCTGCAGGAGGATGGCGACGGGATGCTGCTCGTCTCGGCGGCGGGAGAGGTGCTCGGTCGGGCGACGTACTCCGGGCATGTCCTCTGCACCGACCTGCGTCCCTGCTCAACGAGGTCGACGTCAACCACGCCGGAGGTTGTGGCCCTGCGGGCGATTGTCTCGAAGACGAAGTCGACGCCGGACCGGATGCATGCGAGGCTTGCGCACGTCGGCATGGACACCATACGGAGCTCGGCGAAGAACGAGGTCACCATTGGGCTGGACCTCAAGTCGACGACGGGCGCCGACTCACCGTGTGTCTCGTGCGTCGGCGGGAAGTTGGCGCGGCACACCTTCCCCGACCAAGGCTCCGGCGCCGACGACGTGCTGGCTGTCGTGCACATCGACCTGTGCGGGCCGTTCCGCGTGGCTGCCAAGGACGGCAGCCTGTACTTCTTGCTGCTGAAGGACCGCAAGTCCCGCTTCGTGTGGGTGAGGCCGGTCGCCAAGAAGTCGGATGTGCTGCTGGAGTTCCAGAAGTGGCTGGTGTTGGTGGAGAGGCAGACGAAGAAGTCGGTGCTGATGCTTTGCTCCGACCGAGGAGGGGAGTTCCTCGGGAAGAAGTTCACCGACTTCGTGGACGGAAAGGGGATCGTCCACGACCTTACCTGCCCGTACACCCCGCAGCAGAATGGCATGGCGGAGAGGGAGATGCGGACGGTGGTGGAGTCGGTGCGGACGATGCTGCTGCACATGGGCGTGCAGCATCACTGGTGGCACCTTGCTCTGCGGCAGGCCGTCTGGATCCGCAACTGCCTTGAGAGGTCGACGCTGCCGCCGGGGACGACTCCGTACCAGCTGCTGGTCGGCCAGAAGCCCGACTTGTCGATGGCGAGGGTGTGGGGCTGCATGGCGCAGTTCCTTGTCCCCGAGCAGCAGCGTGGTGGGAAGTTGAAGCCGAAGGCCAGGTGGGGCCTTCACCTTGGCGTGTCGGCGGAGAGCAAGGGCTGGGAGCTCCTCGACATCGACGCCAACCGGGTGGTCACCACGTCGGACGTGGTCTTTTACGAGGAGATGTCGCTGGCTGAGTGGAAGTCGGAGCACGGGTCGGTGTCCGGCCGAACGCCGTCCACCCCGCCAACCGACACCTCGTCGGCGATGGTGCCTCTGCTCGCCGAGGTCGGTGGGCTTGC